ATTCACGCTAGTTTATAAAGAGGGAGAGAAAGGAAATAACTTTGTCTATGATGTACCCAGCTTATTTAAACGTTTATTTATCCAGGCTTTTTAAAGATTCATTAACTTATTTGATTTTCACAGTAACCTTATGAGTGTATCTCTTTTACCAATCAAGAAACTGGTGCTCAGAGAGGCAAGGTGTCTTTTCCAAGGTCACAAGGCTGGTAAACAGCAAAGCTGGGGGTTCACCCACCAGGCATCCAGACTGCAAGCCCAGCCTGTTCCACCAGGCCACAGTGCTTGGCAATCGCTGAGGAACACTGGGCGCCTAGAGAGGGAAGACTAATGAGGGGAAAGAGGAGGCAGGCCCTGTCTGATCTGACAGCTCAGAGCTTGGAACTGAAGCAAAACATGTCTCCTGAGTTTCATTCTGTGTTTCAGCCGAGTCATGCCCTTGACCTTGAATGGTCAGAGAGGAGGAGTATGTTAAGGAAGTGGCAGGACAAAGATAAATGAGTACATCTGCGTTATCCTACCACTAATCTTTTTTTTTTTTAAACTGAAGATGCTTTTTTTTTTCTTTAGGGTCGTTGTGTCAAATGTGGTTTTTTTCAAAACAGCCACGCTGAAATGTCACATTTCATATTTGCTTTTTTTTTAAACTCAACTCTCCCCAGAACACTTTATAATAAAGATAACATATAATATACTATATACATCTCTTTAAAATAGTCAAGTACCATAATGCCCTTAAAACAGGGTTTGGTAAGCCAGTAAGGTCCATTATAGTTGACAAAATACACTCAGCATGGGGCATGCCTTGTCACAGCACTCAGTAAAATGTCGGGCCTGTTCACAGGATTATCCTTCATTAGGAAAGAAAAATTAGAACTTCTGTGTTCTAGCTGTTTGTACTTCCACCTAAATAAGTGCCTATGCATGTTGTCTTGACAGATATTTTTGGAATTTAAACACTGGGGATCTAGTCTAGTGAATCAGATGGGCATAGTTGACTGCCTACAGTAGGTTTTTAGTCCCGTCCATAACGCTTGACACAGCATCCTAAGTCAAATTCCTTCCATCTACCAGACAATTTCAGCAGCTCACTTAGTGCTTCGTCTTCCGAGCTGAACATAGGCATTCCGGCCATCCTACCTTCAGTTCCTATCCCTGAGGAAAGAGGCTGCATGTGAAAACACAGTAAAAGCCAACGGAAACTACTTTTGGAGAAAAGTTTTTCTTTTTGTAGGCTGTGAAGCAGGCTGTTGGTACTACTAAATCTATTTCCAGGGTCAGTGTGCTGAGACTTGGGAGTCTGAATTTCTGCTGGTTCCTACCAGCTGTGGGACCCTGGCCAGTCACATATCTGTTCTGCCTACTTCACAAAGTGCTCGGGAGGTCCCGAGGCAATGGAAACCAAACGGCCGTAGAGCCCAATGAATCACACAACCATAGCATTTCTCCCCACCCAACACACTGTTTACCTGCTTATTGGGTCTGTGTCCTCCCTCTTTAATGTAAGCTCTACGTGTACAAAGTTTTGTTGGTTTTGTTCATGCTGTACTCACCACAGCACCTAGAACAAAGTGGGGCATTTAGTAGAGGTGTAAGAAATATTCTGTAAGATTAATTCTTTTAATTCATTTTCTGACAAGAGCAATCAAATTGATTCTGCAACTTAAAGGACACCTGTGCTCATCTCCTAAAACTAGATGGTATCGGCAAATCGCGTTGCTCTCTCACTTTGGGAAGTTCCCTGGCCTTTCCTGTCTGTGAAAAAGACTTTTCCTTTTAAGAGGAAGCAGGAAGTTAGAATTCCAAGAACTGTGGGTTGGGAAGGCCCATAACCCAGGCTACTCAAGACTAACTAGGTAAAATTCTTAATCAATGGCAAAGCTGCGTGGAGCAGTTTTTAGAGGTAATTCCACTGACAAGCTACCACTTTCCCTTGAATTATTAATTGGCTTTGCTGATGGATCCCACCTGAAGTTAGTGATGATCTATAGAGAAAAAGGCAGTGTCTTGCTAATCTTGCTGCGTGCTGTAAAAAAAGGTGAAACACAAGACTTTGGTTTCCAATGTGGTGACCAGCATACAGGTCACACCAGTACTTTCATGAGACCATCAAACAACTCAATGTCACGTCAACTGAGTCCATGTAGATATCTAAGTGTAAAGCTCTTGGGATCATAAACAAACTTCAGCACTGAGAACAGTGATAGGCTTTGCCACATCCTACTCAATCCAGATGCTAAGTAGTAGTTGAGTGCTCAACTTTCTACTACCTGGACCCAAGGCTGAGAACACTGATAATTCCCAATTTTTACTATGTACCTCATCTTCATTAATAATTCCAAATCAAAGATATGATTTTCTCAAGCCAGAAATGGTCAATTCCTTCTATGCTATAAAGGTTTTTTCTAATTTTGTTAGGGAAAAAAAAGTGTATAAAGAAAACACAATTTAAAATAAGGTATTGAAATTGCTTTAAAGAAAGTTTTATTTACTGCATACATCCTAAGAATGTATTGTAAATGAAGCAAGATCTAAATAAACTTAAAAGCTTTTCAAATACAAAGCAACTAAAGATAACAACTAAACTGCCAGCATGTTTGAAAACAGAGAACTCGAAAGCTTTTTTTTTTAAACATTTTTATAGTTTGTTCTTAACCCTAAAAAAAAGTTCACATTTCAAGTTACAAACTTACCTCAGTAGTGTACATATGTGAAATGGTTTTGAAACAACAGGAACAGACAGACCACAGGTAGGTAGGAGGCTCACTGATACTTAACTGGCTATGTCACCAACATTTATTTTTAAGGTAGTTTGGTAGTTGCCATGTTAAGACACCATTTTTTCCTTTTTTTTTTTCCTTTTTTGCAAATAATTTACAGGCACATGTAAAATACAGTAAGACCTCTGGATCAGTCTCATCCAGTGAACCTCTGTGCTAATTAACCCCTCTCTGGAAGGAGAGTAAGAGAGCACTTCTTTCATACAAAGTCAAGGGATGGGAACTGAACGCAAACTGCATTTTGTTGGATTACTCATTACAATGGATTTAAGTTTGGATGCAGCTCGCTGGGTACATCATCAGAAACATTGCACAATTACTTTCTGTCATTTAACAATGATGGAAAGGAAGGCTAGGAATGTTTAAAGGCCTTTGCAGGCACTCAATAATCTTATAGAATAGTTAAATAAATATTGCTTATATATAAAAAATTCATCCCACCCTAAGATGAGGGAAAAGAGAGCATCTGGGAAACTCTTAATTTAAAATGTAAAACAGAACTAAAACATCTGCCAAGGGCATGATCTTATTATTAATCCACAATAAGAATTCAGCCATCAGCAAAATTCAGTGAGTGGGAACATTTGATGGAATCTCTAATATGACGTAAAAACACAACTATGTCCTTGCCATCTATTGCACACCTCACTTCCTTGTTAGAACCTTAAAAAAAAAAAAAATTCCAAATTGATGTATTTCATAAAGTAGATGACAATCTTAACATTTTACTGTATTTTACATTCACTCTGCTAAACAAAAGCCTTTAAACAGGCACAAAACACTGCAACAATACATTTACTTCCTAATAAAACAGAACTGTTTAATAACATTGAAATAAAATGGTTTCGTTTTGCATTCAACTATATACCATGAAATTCTGCAACATAAAACAACTAAAAATGAGCATTAGGAGATATTTACAAACTTTTACTCCTATAGGTCTCTCCTCCTCCTCCTGGCTGTGCACGCCCCAATTCAGTTCACTTGCCACATGCACGCCAACAACGGAGGGAGGCCCTGTTCAATAAACATAATATTTCCAACACCCCTGACAACCAGACATTGTGCATGAAACATGATAAGGCAACTAGAAGCATAACCGTCTGCTAACAAGAGCCTTTGGGGTCTTGTCTATAATAACATTCTCTGTCTCTACAAACTTAGACTTCAAAACAAATATATAATAAAAGCATTAAGAAAGGAGTGAAGGTTTCATATTGGACAATTAAATAGCTTTGCAAAGATGCCTTATGCAAACTATTAAAATCTTGTGCTTACACATACTCTGCTATTGAAAATAGCTCCCCAAACAAACCACAAACCCCCAAAACAAAAACCCACACAAAACAAAAAACCCTAACAAAAAGAAGTATAAAAGCCATCAGTGTTCTCTGTCAGAGTAATTAATTTGTCCTTGACTTGCCAAATGTGAAGGTGGGGGTGGGGCGGGGGGGTGGGTGAGTGGAGGGTAGCGGGGGGTGGGGGAGGGGACATATCTAAGAGCAAAGGCACATGGACAACGAGAAGGGGCCCAGGACGATGGCAGCAGGTGACCGCGCCTTCCAGTGTTTGGACTCAGAAGTGTGACAAGTCTTTTCAATATTGGCTTAAGGAGAGGTCGAGCGTTTAATAAGAACAGAACCATCATGAGTAACACGTGGTTAACACCCGTCAACCCTTAATTCCAGCAGAAATAGAGGTTTCACTCATTTTATAATTGCACTTTCCAGTATAACTTTTAAAATAATGTTTTCTGTAGTATTTTTAAAGCACTATTGTTTGTATCTTTAAATATTGAATATATTTTTCAAAATAGTTCCCTAGCTGCTCAAGTGTGCTTTTTTTAATATATACTTGATATACTATTGAAGGTACTACAAAATAGAACTCTCTGGAGTGCAGAAGTTAAGAAAATAACCTTCATAACTGAAAATATATCCTTAAAAATACAAAAACAAAAACCTCTATACAAATGTACTATCGGTACAAATTTTTAAGAGATGGTGTTTAAGGCACAAACCATTGCAAGTCTCTTAGAAATGTATGAACACAGGTCTGCTAAATTGAAAACAGTCTTAAAAAACTAGTGAAAACTTCATGTAATATAAAATATTCCAGTATGGTATCTGATAACATTCTTCGCGTTCAGGTTTTGTGTGTGCTAACCCAACACGCTCCTTCTTCATAAATAGTAAAGCGTTCCTTCGGCGGCGGCAGCAGGCCTCAGTAGGTCTGGTACACGTCGTGGATGGGCACCTGGATGGCCGCGGCGGGGAAGGCCTGAGGTATGTAGCCTGCGTATCCGCCGTACACGGCAGCGGCAGCAGCTGCGTTCTTCTGTAGTGTGGCGATCGTGGCCGTGGCGGGAGCAGCAAACGGCACGTAGCTGGCTCCGTAGATCCCGGCAGCGGGGATTCTCTGAACATTCGGAGCCACCGTGTACACTGGAGTTATTGGGCGACCCTGAGGGGAGAGAAAGCATCTTATTGATCACCTGTAGGTATCTAACCAGACAGGCGGAGGACCCCACCCTAATGGCAGAAAGCGAAGAGGAACTGAAGAACCTCTTGATGAAGGTGAAAGAGGAGAGTGAAAACACTGGCTTAAAACTCAACATTCAGAAAACTAAGATCAGGGCATCGGGTCCCATCACTTCATGGCAAGTAGATGGAGAAACAGTGCAGTGACAGACTTTATCTTCCTGGGCTCCCAAATCACTGCAGACGGTGACTGAAGCCAAGATGTTAAAAGATGCTTGCTCCCTGGAAGAAAAGCTATGACAAACCTAAATAGCATATTAAAAAGCAGAGCCATCACTTTGCCAAAAAGGTCTGTATAGTCGCAGCTTTGGTTTTTCCAGTGGTCATGTATGGATGTGAGAGCCAGACTATAAAGAAGGCTGAGCATCGAAGAATTGATGCTTTCGAACTGTGGTGTTGGAGAAAACTCTTTAGAGTCCCTTGGATAACAAGGAGATCAAACCAGCCAATCCTAAAGGAAATCAGCCTTGAATATTCGCTGGAGGGACTGATGCTGAAGCTGAAGCTCCAATACTTATGGCCAGGTGATGAGAAGAGCCAACTCACTGGAAAAGACCCTGACGCTGGGAAAGATTGAGGGCAGGAGGAGAAGGGGGTGACAGAGGATGAGATAGTTGGATGGCATCACTGACTCAATGACATGAGTTTTAGCACATTCAGGGAGATGGTAAAGGATAGGGAAACCTGGTGTGCTGCAGCCCATGGGGTTGCAAAGAGTTGGACATTACTGAGTGACTGAACAACAACAACCTATCCATTCATTCAACAACCCCATTCATTCATTCAGCTCCCAGGGGTGAGGCAATGACAAAGAAACAAAAGTTTCCATTCTCAGGGCAGACGGACAGACAGACAATCGTAAGGGACAGAGACAGGAGCCACTGAAGTGGAGCTGCATCCTCGAGGCACATTCAAAGCCAACTGGTGACCATGACAGAACTGGCATGTTCACGGAAAGTTCAAATACCCTGGAATCTTCTGCCCACCATTCTACTCAATCAACCTATGCACCAGAGTGAGCTAGAGATGGGAGCTGAGGTCTACTCTTTACTCAGTTGATCTCACTGTAATTATGAATAAGTATTTTTCCTAAAATACATGCCAGCTGCCTCAACTCATACTTAACTGAAGGAACATGATGTATCAACAATGGAGAGGAGCACAGTCTATGACTTTATGAACAAAATACACAGCTCTCCCAAGGGCCAGCGTCGTAAGCTGTGACCTAAGATTGTGATCATACCGGATCTTCAACAAAGGCGCTCGCTTCAACTATCACCGACTGAAGATATGACACCACTAAATATACAGCTGCTGTGGAAGCTTAGAGAAGAAGCCAACTACCTTGAGGGGCTTGAGGAAGCGTCTCTGAAGCGGATAAATCTGAGCTGGGTTTTGAAGGGTAAGTGGGGCTTCCTCGGTGGCTCAGATGGTAAAGAATCTGTCCGCAATGCCAGAGAGCTGGGTTCTGTCCCTGGGTCAGTCAGATCCCTTGGAGAACGGAATGGCTACCCAATCCAGTGTTCTTGCCTGGAGAGTTCTGTGGACAGAGGAGCCTTGTGGGCTACAGTCCATGGGGTTGCAAAGAGTTGGACACGACTGAGCGACTAACACTTTCACTTGGATAAGGTGGGATTTCCACATGAGCAGGAAGTGGGGAAAGAGGAGCTATCTGAAGCTCCCTTACTGTAGATGCCATGCTGGCTCTGAAAGTCCAGGATGCTTCCCTCCCTCCACTTGAGAACATACTACATTTTCAGAACAAACAGGGGTAGACGAGGAAGACTGTGGTTCAGTATTTTCCAAAGTGTTTGCTATATGGAGTCCATTCTGTGGACCGCTTTAGGGAAAAGGAGATTTTTGGTAAAACAAAACATACATTTATGTAACCAAACATCTTGTGTAACTTATGTTCCATAGAATGCCCTGTGGCACAAATAGTTCAGGATATGTAAAAGGGAGAATTAGATTTTAAAAAATTATTTCTTCCTGGGTCTTATAAAGGAATTACTTATCATTCCTTTACAAAAATCTGCAAATCAGAGTCACAAAATTATGTTCAAAGCAACTTCAGAATTAAAGAGTCATTTTTTTTTCAACTGTAATCCAAATAATAATTACAAATAATATCCAAATGATAGCAGTAACAGAGATGACTGTCTGCTAGGCACTATTCTAAGTGCCTTATTTAAATGACACTATTGAGACATCATCACAACCACCAATGAAGCTGGTGGATTACATGGAGAAGCTTTGATGTTTTAAATGACTTGCGCACGGTGACACAGCTTTTAAGCAATGGGATGTGTGAGTCTGGCACCTGTGCATTTAGCCTTGCATTATCCTGCCTGCTACAATGCAGCCACAATGAACATTAGTAACACTTTACAACCAAGGAGAGCAACTTTGGAACTGGGAAGACTGTGGTTCACAGCAGGACACAAGCTGCCTTCTCCAAATCTGTGGACATCTCTTTAGTGACAAATGCACAAAGGAAAGGATCACCAGGAAGGTGAGATCTGAGAGGAACCACTCCATGTACAACAGTGCGAGCCCAACACCTGAGCCCAGGGGAGTGTGATGAGGTTGAGTTGAGTGTGGGGAGCTGGGGAGGAGGAGAGAAAAAGCCCTCAATTTCCCCTCCTCTCAAAAAAGGGATGGTTCTTGCTCTACTGATACCACTGACTTGCTGTGACGATTGAGACACTTTGAGAAATAAAAGTGAAAAAAGGATTGTCTACACATGCAAGCTTTTTTTTTTTTTTAATTGCCTCTGAAGGCTATATGAAATTTTGGATTTAAATGGCTACAAAGGAACATCTCTGAGCTCCTGCAAAACAGAGGAGGAAGATCAAAGGTGTTACCCAGGAAGGTCACTGGGAACCGATGTGTGGCTTCACTCTGAAAAGTGTTCTTTTTACCAATCCATGGAGCTTAAAATGCTCCTTCCTCTGTTCCAATTTGGCAGAGAACACAGAAGAGGCGGAGGACAGAACGTCTCCGAGAACCCAGGTCAAAGAGCTGAAGGCAGGACAGAGAGTGCTCAGCTTTGAGGGAGAGCAGTGGGGCCACACACTCAAAGAAGCCATTCCCACGTTACGGAGGAAGTAGCTCCAGGCATTCTGCAGAAGATACTGGAGGAGGGAACAATGGCCATAGGAATCTACTGATGACAGCACACCGAACAAATCCCAAACCACGAGACCCCGACGGCAGCATCCAGTGCAGACTGATATAAGACAGAAACAGTCTGCAATCCAGGATGTGATCATGAAGCCTGAAATCTGGGCCGAACCACAGCGGTGACCATGCAGCAAAGACCAAAATTCACAAGTTTCCTAATAAAGAGGAATTAGAATTAGCAGAATTCCACTAGGTAATGCTTGTAGGTTACTGTATGTATTTATAGTCAGGACACAGTAATAACCACCTTGTGAGTCATTTCCAACGCAAGACTACTGCCGGGGTTCACAAGCCTAGCTGTTTCAGCGTTACTGAGGAGGTGGGACAAAATATGGATTCTAGACCCCAAGCCCAGCTCTGCTGAATTGGAATCTTCTGGGGTTTGAATCCAAGAGTCTCTGCTTTATAAACATGTCTCCTTGATAATTCTTATCCAGTTAGATACAAGACATCCCTGCCCTGAGTTTTTATGCTTATGGATTGATGAGGTGTTTGATATTTACTGCTTCACAAAGGATAGCTTCAACAAGATTATTTTTCTGTCTAGGAGAATGATATATTGTATAGGTATTCCCTGTGTGCTGCATATTGCAGAAACAAAGAAATACATGTAAGATGTGGCTCTTGGTCTGGAAGCACTTTAACTGGGGAGACAGAACACAGAACTTGACTGGTAGTCCAGTAGACAATACTGAGAAGTACAGGACAGATGGTTTCCACGGTGAGGTAGATGGAAAAGGTTCTAGAGAAAAAACCAGAGAGAGGAGAACACTATGAGCAAAGGTGGGGAAGAAGGATGGAACGGTCAAATTGGATTGGGAGGAGAAATGGGAATAGTTGGATATGGTTGGGAGAGAGGATTAAAGGCAGATTTTGTAAAGTTTCATAAATCTTTATCTCTATAGACATTTCTGTCTCTCCACAGGTACTCACACACACACACACACACATATACATACACACATATATACGTATGGATATACTCAGAGAGAGAGATGGAGGGGAGGAAGAGGGGCAGTTTTAAAAAACCTTTACTGAACTATAATCTGGAATGCAAAAACTACAATCTGGCATGAACTACCCCCTGGGACCCCATGTGTCACCTCTGTAACAATAAGTACATGAGTTAAAAATTATCCTGTGTCATTAAAAAAAAAAGGATGTATAACATCACTGTGAGAAATTACACATGTCATTTTTGCATATTGCTTCCTATCTTTAAAACAGTGGCGATTTTGGGATAGTACAATTATTAGCTAACATTTTCTCGTCCTGTCATGATTTATCTTACAAAAATACTTCTATCACTCAGACCCACAGTTCCAGCAGAAGGCCAGGCACAGTGTCTTGAGTCCGTGATACCAGAGACCTCACACCAGCACCGCAGCAAGGCGCTTACCTGGAAAGGCGGTGGGGTGGACACGGCAGGGATGACGGCTGCGGCGGCCGCGGCGGCCGCAGCAGCGCTGGCTGGGTCGGGCTGCACGGCGATGGGGCTGATCATGTGCTCCATGGTGTGGATCTTCCCATCTTCAATCATTTTAGGGGCCGGAGCTGCCTGAAACATGGAATACTGGGCGCCGATGGCAGGGATGGCCACTGCAAGAGAAGGAAAAGGAAAGCACAGCTCAGTCACGTCCAGTTGCTGAGGGAAGCGCCATCGCTTTCTCAATATTTTCCCAAACAAGTGTAGCAGCTGGGGGCTCTGCCTGCAAACGAATGCTCTCTCACTACAGGTGCTATCCAAGAGGAAGAGGGGGGAGGCGGAGGTAGCCCGTATCCTGCTGGGCTTTCAAAAGGAACCACGTGGGCAATGCGTGGGATCTCCCCACGGATCCTCAGGGCAGGCAGGCTTACAGTTGTTTCTGCACCCACATTTTCTACTGCTACCAACAGAATTTAGAACAGAATAACATTTAGACTCGCATGCTTGAGGTCCTACAGAGCAAGAAGGGCCTTGCAATTTTGAGAAAACAGGCTCAGAATAAGAAGAGAGCAGAGGCTTGAGGCCCAAGAGCGTGAAAAGAGCCTGCCAGCTCCTTATCACCTATCTTACTCAGTACCAGCCCCACTGCCCTTTTTCACTTTCACCACGTTTTAAAGAGCAGGTGCTGTTGAGAGTTTCATTCTGAGAACTCAGAGGTCAGTGTACATCCTCCCCGACCTGCCAATGCAAAGACATGTTTCTGTGAATAAAGCCCAAAAGGACTCATCTCAACCAGAGGCTCAGACAGATCACAGTTTTCGAATGTCAATGTATGATGCTGCCGCTGCTGCTAAACTGCTTCAGTCATGTCTGGCTCTCTGCGACCCTATGGACTGTTCAGCCCTCCAGGCTCCTCTGTCCATGGGATTCTCCAGGCAAGAATACTGGAGTGGCTTGCCATGCCCTTCTCCAATGTATGATAAGGAGAGGTAAAAAGACAAAAAAAAAATTAGCCCTGATTTGGGGGAGTTTGTGTGAGTGTGTGCGGTATGTTTCGAGGATGGTAAGAATATTGAAATGCATACAACAAAGTATACTTTCACTTGTTTTTATTCTCCAACTGTAGGTGACGTCTTCTAATAAAAGCCGATTTGATATCAGGTAAAGAGAAATGCTTGCGTGCTGTGTTCTCAGTCGCTTCACTCGCGTCTAACTCTTTGTGACTCTATGGACTGTAACCCAGCCAGCTTCTCTGTCCATGAGCTTCTCCAGGCAAGACTACTAGAGTGGGTTGCCGTCCTCCAGGGGGTCTTCCCAACTCAGGGATCAAAGCTGTGTTTCCTGCTCTGCAGGTAGATTCTTTACCAAAGAGCCACTGCGGAAGCCCAAAGAGAAACGACTGTAGGCCAAACAATGGTACAGTCATTCAATAAAATATATCTAAAATCTAAACCAGATCTTTTACCTGCCTTTCTATCTATATGATCTTGTGCCTAGATACTTCACTATTGCCTGCTGTTCCTCCTAAAATACAGAGTTCTAATTTTCTGAATGAATCAGAAATAGAGGTCCAGGGGACAGGGCCCAGAAAGGGCTGTAAGTCGGAGCTACGTCTGAGTTGTACTAAGCAACTCCAGATTGTTCTGGCTACCAGCCACCAGAACTTCTACCCCATGCCTCAGCACACAGTTACATGCTTCAAGATCTTTGAGTTCCTTTCTCTGGGCTTCTGTGGTGGCTCAGCTGGTAGAGAATTTGCCTGCAATGTGGGAGACCTGGGTTGGGAAGATTCCCTGGAGAAGGGAAAGGTTACCCACTCCAGTATTCTGGCCTGGAGAATTCCATGGACAGTCTATGCGTTTGCAAAGTCGGACATGACTGAGCGACTTTTCTTTTCTCTAGTTAAATCTTAAACTACTGCCAATGGGAATACCTTTCCCAACAAGTATAAGTGACAACTCCTGTATCCAGGCTCTGCTTTATGGAATTAGAGAGAAACAGGATAAGTTTTATATTGCTTGAGGCATCAATGACATTTGCAAGGAAATCCAGTCTAAGGAGTCACTTAACTGCAGAAGTGGCAGATTTTTTTTCACAGGCATTTAGGGAAAAAAAAAAAAAATCACTAGATTACTTCAAAAGGAAGCTCTACTGAGAAAATGCCTTGTAAGCCCCTATGCGGCCAATGCCAGCCTATACCCCTTATACACAGCTCCCTTGAAACTGTTTCAGCCAGGGGAAGGAGTGTAGTCCTCAGCCAACACGAAATCAGAGGAGCTGCGCTTCGAAGTGAAGATGCTCTCAAAGAGCTCTTCAATCTACCCTCCAGGAGGCTGGGGGGTCTGGAGGAGCATCATGATGCAATCTCCCATGTGTCTGGGTGCTTGTGTGGTGTGTGCACAGAGGGAGTTTGTGCCCTGCTCACACTGAGCAGTTAAATAAAGCTCCTTGCAGCTGAGGATCAGAAAGAAGACCTGTCTCAGACGACTAACGAGCCTTAACAACGTTGGAAAACTGGTTTGTGGGGCCTGGAGGGTGGAAGCAAAGTTCAAGGTCCTTGGCTTCAATTACTTGAGTGCCCCTACCCTCCATCTACTGATTCAGCAAGAGGCGGAAATGAGAGCTGGGAATTAGCCGCAGAAAGTTTCTCTGCGGCCTTGCTCCCAGGCGTTCTGGTTCGTTAAGACCACGACAAGGGACAGCAGCGTTATTTGCTCCTGAAGGGGAATTTCCCAACAACTGTCAGAACTGGCAGAGTTGCACCTTCTGGCTTCTGATTGACTGGGGTTGAAATAGGCTTGAGTAAGGAATAGAAAGCTTTTAGCTGGTAGAAGATACAGTAGAGCCTCATATTTTTCTACCCTTGTACCCCTCGCCCCAACCTCCCTAACTGAGAATCTGCCTAATTGAGAAAAAGTCTGACAACCGGTGACATCCATTTGGGAAACCCACTATTAAGAAAGTTTGACTTGAACATGGTCAAAATTAGACCATCCCCCAAGTTCTAGATAAGAAGGCCCAGGAGGCCACAATCCTTGCCTAATCTCCGGCTGCCTTTGAGAAGAGGAACCCATGTGCAGATGAAAGTGCCGAGGGAGTCACCTCAAAGAGAGAGAGTTGGGGTTCAGGCTGAATAAACGCATTCTCACTCTGGTTGATACTGACCTGTACCAGGCTTAATGGCAACTGGATTGACGGCAGAGATTTCCAAATTCGGTACAAGTTCAAATCCTTTTTCTTGCTGTTTTCCTTTTCCTTCATGATATCGGCTATATATACCACGGCCAGCAGAATATCCCCCAAGGTAGGAACCCCTGGGACCCGGGGCTCTGTTGCCAGCTGCGCCTCGACCCCGGCCTCTTATGCTGCCTGCTTATAATAACAAGACAAAAAATGATGAGCTACCAACAGCGACAGTACGGGAGGTGGATCTTAACCCAGGGTTCTTAGCACTCTGGTATCTGTCCTGGCTCTAAGCTCTGCTCTTTAGAGAGCTCGGAAGATGCTTCAGACTTTCTGGCTCCAGCCTAGATGCATCCTAAGATGTCTGCTTAGTACACAAGATGAACTTGAAGGGTGAGTTCCTAGGATTGTAACTGCCACCCCAATAAATAAAAATTTTCGAAGACGGTCACAAAACTAGATGTAGAAGGGGAACTGCTAGTTCATCTTCCTCATTTTAGGCGTGAGAAAACAGGCTTCCGGAGCTTAAAGGGGCTGACTAAAGTCACAGAGCCAGTTAATCAGAGGGCAGGACCCAGAACGGAAGTATTTTGCTTTCCATTGTAATGCCTGCTTTCAGGACAGGCGAGTCAGTGACTAAAAACAACAAAACAACACAAACCCAACAATACTGTGCCCCCTAAAGGTTTAATTTCACAAGCAGGTTTAAACCTAAGACCCAGAGGCTTGCCGTCTAGCCCCACGTCGGATAAAGGCCCTGGAAGGGCAGAACGCAAGAAAAGCTTGCACGCTGCGCGCGATGGGTCACGTTACCTCACTCTGTATATATGAACCATCTACATTTTCCTCGACGCGGCAGAAGTGAATGCCGTATGCGGAACCAACACCCCAAGGAGGGGGAGTAGGGGCATCGCCGTCCACCAGCCCAGTAAACGACAGCCACCACCCTCCCCAACGGCATCAGCCGGCAGACGCGCCTGCCCCGTCCGCCCACGCAGGCGAGGAGCCCCGCACTAACCTTTCACGAAGTAGTCCCTGTTGGGCCCGATGAGCGCGTTGTAGGGGTAGCCATAGTAGGCCAGAGTGTAGGGGTCGCAGGAGTACACGTAGCTGGGCGGCTGCACCACCGCGGCCTCCGCGGCGCCGCCGCCCTTGGCCGCCTTCTGGTAGCGGGAGTACTGCTCCTTGTCCACGGGCTTGGCCAGCGTCACCTCCAGGCATGAGCCCTCCAGCTCGGTGCCGTTGAGGTTGTTCATGGCGTGCACGGCGTCCTCGCGGCTGGCGAAGTGCACGAAGGCGTAGTCGCGGATCTTCTTGACGCGCTCCACGCAGCCCGGGTTGAACTGGCCGAAGCTCTTCTTGATGGTGTCCTCGGTGGTCTCGATCATGAGGTTGCGCACGTAGAGGATCTTCACGGTCTCCATCACGTCCTCGTCCACGTCGATCTCGGGCTCGGCCCAGTCCACGGCGATCTGGTGGCCCCACAGCTGGATGCGGCCGGGCATGAGCTTGCGGCGCGCCATGGCGGCGGCGCGGTGGCTCTCGTACTCCACGAAGGCGAAGCCACGGTTCTTCATCTTGTCGGCCGCGCTGGCGTAGACGATCACGTCGAGCACGCCCTCCGTGACCTTGGCGATCTCCTCCAGGATCTCCTCGCGCTTCTTCATCTTGGGGATGCCCCCGATGAAGAGACGGCAGTTGTCGACGCTGCAGCACACGCCCAGCAGGCGCCCGGGGCGGATCTCGTAGTTGTTGAGCTCGCGCACGGCGCGCTTGGCCTCGCTCTTGTGGCAGTACATGACGAAGGCGTAGCCGCGGTTCTTGCCGTCGAAGTCCATCATGAGGCGCAGCTCGTAGATGCGGCCCACCGCCTCGAACACCGGCACCAGCTCGTCCTCGTAGACATCGCGGGGGATCTTGCCCACGAAGACCTCGCAGCCGCGCTGCGGGTGCGGGCCTTCCCAGCCGGGCGGCGGGCCGCCATATTTGCGCTGCCCGTTCTCCTGCACCATGCTGTAGCCCGTGCGCGCCAGCAGCGCCAGCAGCGCCGCCTCGTTGGGCGCGCCCGCCACGCCCTCGGGCACCTTGGCAGAGGACCCGGCGGCGGAGTCGCTGCTCATGGCTGCGGTGGAATCCTCTGCGGTCATAATGTCAAAGGCATCCACGGCCGGTGGAGACCTGGGGACGGCAGGAGGCAGACGGTGAGCCTAGAGTCTACACCAAGTTGAGCCACAACTTGACTACAGGTTTTTTTTTTTTCCTTCTTTTTCTCTTTTTCTTCTCTTTTTTTTTCTTAAAGCCATCCAAGACTCACGCTTAACTACCGGGTGGTTAAATGAGAAAGAAGACGGGGACTTCTCTGGATGAACGGCAGCTCTAAAATAGTCTAAATTAGGCAAGTTGTTTTGCAGGAAAAACCAGAAGTGACTCAGGAAAAAAAAAATCAGAAGGAGCAGGTACTTCCGCCTAATCAGTACCCCCAACAGCTTTGAAGCATAGAGAACCTGCTGTCATTGTGGGTGCAAATCTCATGTTCTTGAGGCAGCTGGCAAGATCTTTTGCTTAATTCCTGCACTGTCAACTCAGATTGATTTCCTTTTAGTTATAGCATTTTACCCCCTTTATTTCTTTGGCAGACAAAGCCTGCTTTCTTTTTAAAGAGGCTTTTTCATTTAGGAATGGAAAGAGGGCAGTGTATTTATATTGTTAAGGAAAAAACTGAGGCGGTGTTATTATAGAAGATACAGAACTGTGTGCTGAAGCTTTTTACAGGCAAGAAATGGAACATCCACAATAACGAAGGACTTGGGTGAGGAACTGTGCAAACAGCTGGTAAGTCTGACTTTTTAAGGTGTCACTCCCTGTCAGCAAAATTCTTGATATGAACCATTCATGGATTTGGAATCAGTGCACAGAGCTAGATTAGCTTCAGGCTGGGGATTTTTGAAACAGCAACTATCTGGTAAACTACAGGATAGTTTTCAGAGAACTGTCACATGCATTATCTTATTTGATCTTAATCTCCTTTCATGGTAAGTGATAGTATCATTAGTCCCAATTTGTCTATGGGGAAATACACTCAGAGAGGTTGAATAAATTACTCATTTCACACAGTAGGTATCAGCTCCTATCGGGACTTGATTTCAAGCCGTCTTGTGTTCTTTCTTCTAAACCAGTGCTGGGCAATAGAACTTTCTGTGATGATGGAAAAGCTGTCAGTAGGCACTTGTGGCTACTGAATACTTGAAATGGGATAATTGCAGAGTTTTTCATTTTTTTCTAAAATTAAATAGCCACATAAGTGCAAGTCTAAACCATGCCACCTTCACTTCTTCAGATCAGGGCCCTTAGAAATAATTTAAAATTATACAGTGAGATTATCACTAGGTGCTTCTTATTGTGCCTTTGTAAAGAATAGCTCTGATTAGCTTTTTTTAATGAAGTTTATTTCATTTTTTTGGACTATGAAAGTATTCAAGTAAATTTTATGGAAATTAAGAAAAGTAGGAAAAGAAGTTATTCCTAATTCTCCTACCCAGTGATAGCCACATAAACTTTCCCGTCTTTCTTTTGATAGTTTCTTTGGGGGGAATGGGAGAGGTGGAGCTAGGCTTCCGACAAATTTACATCTGCTGCTTTACTTCATTTTATAAGCATTCCTCCACATTCTTAAAACTGTAAAAATATGATTTATAATAGGAATATGGTTTCATCATTCAACTAAATTTTTAAAAATTGACTACTGGGAATTCTACACAAGGATATTAGGGGAAATTTCAAGGTTAATTAAAGTACATTTGCTCATCTAAAGAAAAAAAAAAAAGAAAAAGAATGATAGGGACACAACAGAATTATGTTTTTGCCTGTTGGCCAACCAGTACTACTTTGGTTCATCTGCTGAAACAGTAAGCAACAGTACAGTTTCATGGGTTAGTGGGTGGCCACTGGACTGATGCTGACGCTGAAACTCCAGTACTTTGGCCACCTGATGCAAAGAGCTGACTCATTTGAAAAGACCTTGATGCTGGGAAAGATTGAGGGCAGGAGAAGGGGACGACAGAGGATGAGATGGTTGGATGGCATCACTGACTCACTGGAGATGAGTTTGAGTAAACTCTGGGAGTTGGTGATGGACAGGGAGGCCTGGCGTGCTGTGGTTCACGGGGTCTTAAAGAGTCGGACACAACTGAGCAACTGAACTGAACTGAACTGGAATCAGAGTGCATGACTGTGTGTGAATCCTAGCTTGAACACTTCCTAGTTGTATGACCTGAAAGGATATTCAGCTCCTTCATGCCTCAGTTTCCCTATCTATAAAATGGGAATGATGATAATAGTATTAATTTTGTTAAGTTTACAAAAGTGAGTCAATACATACAAGCATTTTGAACTGTGCCTGGGAAATTGTAAATGCTCAAGAAATGTCAGTTATTATACTTCATCCAAACTTCTGGGTAAAACTCAAGACCAATTTAGTTTTAGAGTAATTTTGACACTTTCTCAGTTCTTTAAAAACATCTGTTTGATATGGCTGCTATTCTTATTTTTAATTTTCTTTGCTCTTCAGTTGCTTGAAAGCTGTTTTGGCAATATATCCAATTATGAAGCCTTTTTTTCTGGTTTAAATTTGAAAATAATACAGTTCCTGGAGTTTTGTGTTGAAGCAGAAATTTCAGTATCAGATTTGAACATGAAGATCTTTCCCCCCTTCCAAATGGAAGCTAAGGATATATTCTTAAGAAGATAAGAAGATTCTTTGCACAAACACATGTGCATTTATAATCTGTGACCTGGGAAGGAAATGGCAGGTATGTATAAACACGTATGAGGGAATTCAAGATCTTAACATGGTTTAACTACATAAAACAGTGATGGGGAATACATGTAAGTCCATGGCTAATTCATTTCAATGTATGACAAAAACCACTGCAATGATGTAAAGTAATTAGCCTCCAACTAATAAAAATAAATGAAAAAAAAAAAAAAAAACAACAGTGATTAAAGTCCAAAGGAATAGTCCTTCTCTCTCTTCTGAGAGATGTAGAGTTGACTTTTAATATTTTCATAATGGTACTTTGAAACTACTCTTTAACTCGCACAAAATGCTGTATAATGCCAGGCTGAGGGAGTTATTTTCAATTCCAGCCCTATTAATTTCACCAGAAAATCTGTTGCTTTCAGTAAGTAGTTATAGCTTAGTCTCTTGCACCTGCAAGCCAAGAAAAGCTTTTTTTCCCCTGAGGTTTCATCATCTGGTATATATGAATCATGTTAATGGCCCCCTTTCTCTTTTTACTTTGGCTCCTAGGAGGTTCAGAATTGAATTTGTCACTTTAGTTTTTTAATGTGTAAGACATTACAGCACACTCTCAGGTTCATCTGATCTTGGCTATAGTTTCATTTTTTTAGTCTCCTATATCCCCAGTACCATGAATTTAGCTATGTATATTATTCATCTTACTGTTTTCATGTCCTTGGAAGCCATCTCTCATAATTTTGGAGTTAGGAGAGGAATAAATGCATATACCCATGAAAAATATATATATATAATTTGCATGAAATATAAATTAGTGTGGTATTTAAATGAACTATTTTTACACTAGAGATACATAAAAGCAACTGAGAACTGCAATGAGATTCCACTCTGCATCCATCAGCATGCTATTGTGTGTGTGTGTGTGTGTGTACGCACATGTACGCGCTCAGTCATGTCTGACTCTTTGTGACCCCACTGACTGTAGCCTGCCAGGCTCCTCTGTCCATGGGATTCTCCAGGCAAGAATACTGGAGTGGGTTTCCATTTCTTCCTCCAAGGGACATTCCTGACCCAGGTATTGAACCTGGGTCTCCTGCACTGCAGATTCTTCACCACTGAGCCACTTGGGAAGTCCTAGCATGCTATTATAACCAACCAAACATACAAACTAATGAAGTAAAATAAGTGTTGACAAGAATGTATAAAAATGGCAACCTCTGCTCATTGCTGGTGGGAATGTAAAATGGTGCAGCTACTGTGGAGAACTGTATAGCGGTTCCTCAAGAACATAGCAGTTATCATATGATCCACCAATTCCACTACTGGGTATATACTCAAAAGAACTGAAAATTGGGACTCAAAACAGATATTTGCACACCATTGATCATAACAGCATTATTCACAGTAGCCAAAAGGTAGAAACAACTCCCAAGTCCATTGGGACATGAATGGGCAAATGAAATGTGGCGTGTGTACTCAACAAAATGTTATTCAGTCTTGAAAAAGAAGGTAATTCTCACATGTGCTGCAGCATGTATGAACCATGAAGATGCCCTAAGTGAAATAAGCCAGGCACAAAAGGACAAATATTGTATGAGTCCACTTACATGAAGCACCTAAAGAGTCAAATCATAGCAGAATAGTGGTTGCCAAGAACTGTGGGGAGGGAGAACGGGGAACTACGGTTTATGGCATTCCAGCGAGAGATGATAAAGTTCTGGAGGGTGGGGTGGTGATGGTTGCATCAGTTACTACTTAATGCCACTGAACTGTACATGTAGACAGTTAAAATGGTTCTTTGTTATCTAAAGGTTAACACACATATTGAGAAGGCTCAGAGATGCAAAAAGGATAAAAATAAGATTCTGTAAAGTTAGGATTTCATTAGCGGCCATTACAAATGGTATATTGCATTAGTTTAACACATTCAAGAAAATCTTATGGTCTACAAACTCCATTCTTCTTATCTATATGTCTAAGATGCCATAGTTAAATTACCATGCTGTTTAATGAGTTTTCAAGGCCAAAGGCTTAGATATGTAAAAGATATATGGCTTATTTAATGTCTTAAAAGCAGGGGAACTATATAGCATTAGCTGTATGACCCTTCTTTCAGAGATGAAACAGAAACATTATTATAACTAGACATGCTTTAGACCGGGGCTTGGAAAATTACATCATGGTCCAAATATAGCCTGCCATTTGTTTTTTTAAATAAAGTTTTATTGGAACAGTCATCCTCCTTTTTTTTTTTTTTTAAAGATGGCTCTTTTTCCATTTCAGTGGCAGACTTGACTAGTTCAGACAGAGACTGCATGGGCCATAAAGGCTAAAATATTTACTCTCTGGCCAGGTATAGAAGAAGTTTGCCAACCTTTGTTCACAGAGAAC